TGTGTGTGTGTGTGTGTGTGTGTGTTTGTGCCTTACGTGTGTGTATATATGTGCATACGAGTATATAAATTTATGTATCTGTCTCTGAGCACTCTATTCCATTGGTCTATCTGGTCCTATACCAACACCACACTGTTTTTCTTATTATTGTTTTAGATTATGTCTTAATATCTGGTAATTAGTTGCTATTACTAAACACTTGAGCAATAAAATAACTTGTCTACAAATCCAATTATATTTACTTATTTGATACATGAAAGCAAATCCGTGGGAACAAATAAATCAAAAAGTGCAAACCGGTTGTGATTTTCTGATAATACCTTTGTTCCAGACAAGACCACAAAAGCAAATGTGCATGTTTTTCAGAAAGAGAATAAAGGGTGTCTTCATTATCTTATGAAAGCCAATGAAATGATTTTATGGTTAAATTACAACTACCAAAGAAACCATAGTAAGGATCTGAGCCATATAATCTATTTTGTCCTTCTATAGCCTTGATAAAGCATAAATTCTGTTAGATTATGAACTGTTTTGAATATTAGATTACATTGAATAATCGGTGTTAAAATAATCCGGCATGTTAAATTTTATTCTTTTTTAACCCCTTTAGGTTCTGGAAATCCAGAGGAGGTCAGTTTTTTTTGTCCTTCTCATATTATATTGCTGTAATTAGAGTATTTAATAATCATTGTGATTCTTTTTCTATTGGTATAAACCAACAAATGAAAATTCTTATGAGTAAGGATGATATTTTTTTCAATCATAATCTTATTTCATTTAAAATGCTTGACACATTAAACATCAGTCATTACACTGACTCCTTAATTTTGTAGCACTGAACATAAAACTTAAGTCTGGCTACACATCTGAATTACATATCAGGATATAAAATGAAATCTTTTTGTGCTTACTTTTACAGTCTATCTCTAAAAAGGAAAATATATATACAGTATATTTTAAATAAGCCAAATTTACATACACTTAAATTTATGCTTGTTTTACTAAGTATTTGATCAATGCAATATGTGTACATTCTCTTTCTGAATAATTAAAATTAATTATTATTAATGTTTTCTTGACAGGAAGAAAGTGAAGGAGAAACATATGAAGACATGTATGAGTTGCATTTTTTTACCATAATATTTTCCTTCTAAGATGAATATAATGATTTGTACCCGGGAGCATAGATGGATATTCAACACTGGAGGGAGGGGGAGTTTTATTGTTCAAATGGCTGGCATATTTTTATAACCTTTATTTTAATACAAAGGTTTTTTTACTGTCTAAAGATTTTACAAAGGACTCTTAAAATGCTGTTGCGTGACAGGCCAGAGACCTGCAGCCTCCAGATAGACCACAGATGGGGAATCGGAGCCAGGAATCTGTATTTCTTGCTCAGTTTGTCCTTGGGCAAACAAATTCATCTATGTTACAACTTCCTCCCCTAGGCAGTGCTTTACCTCCCAAGGCTGCTATGAGAAATAATTTTACACAGCACCAGATGTCAGTGTTTCAGCCTGTTGATGCAGAAAAATGTTTAAAAACATAGCTCCAAAACGAGTTTCTGGGTAGCCCCAAACTAAGAAATTTCTTGGAAAGTGAGTGAAAGTAGAAATGAATATATCATCTTATTTTTATCTTTTGTTGATTCAAGTATCTTTATTTCAATTAAATTCAAATATCTCTCACCAGTTCTTATTCAACCAGTACTGACTAAAGTTTATGAACTAAGGTTTGCACTATGCACATGTGCACGCTCTTGTACGTGAGTGCATGAGAGAGAGAGAGAGAGAGAGAGAGAGAGAGAGAGAGAGAGAGAGAGAGAGAGAGATTAATTCTATTCATGCCAACATGCAGCAAGAGCAGGGCC